CCATTTTTTTAATAATGGATTTAATGGGATGTTCAAAGTTTAGGATATTTTTTTATAACCCAACCCTGATCTGTACTTCTCCACAACTTTGTCCCTGACCTGTTTGGAGAGCTCCTTGGTCTTCATGGTGCCGCGCTTGCTTGGTGGTGCCCCTTGCTTAGTGGTGTGAGATCATGTGACAGATCATGTGACACTTAGATTGCACACAGGTGGACTTTATTTAACTAATTATGGGACTTCTGAAGGTAATTGGTTGCACCAGATTTTATTTAGGGGCTTCATAGCAAGGGGGGTGAATACATATGCACGCACCACTTTTCCGTTATTAATTTTTTAGAATGATTTGAAACAAGTTATTTTCACTTCACCAATTTGGACTATTTTCTGTATGTCCATTACATGAAATCCAAATAAAAAACAATTTAATTTACAGGTTGTAATGCAACAAAATAGGAAAAACGCCAATTTTATTGTCTCCCCAGATAAGTACTCTACTCTCCATTTTATACACCAGTGAGTGGAGTCTCTGGCGGAGTCCCAAATGGTGAAAAGTAACGCATTATATAGGGTATTGGGTGCCATTTGGGACAGAGCTTATCATTCATCCTTTTAACTCTCTTTTGAAGGGGGGGATAATAGGTTGCAATCACTATTACAGAGCTATCGCTAGCACCGATTGTCTCAGAGCCTGAAGCTGTATGATCACATCTGGTAGATGGATTTAACATCTAAGATGTGCTGTAGGAGTCCTCCTTTAAGCTCTACAACAACAGACTCAATGGAAGTAACATAACAGGAACACAAAGCCTTACCAATCTGTGAAAAACATGGTCTTCTCTAGAACCTGCTGTTTCAAATCAAATTACATTTTGTCACATGCGCCAAATACAACTGTGAAGTGCTTGCTTACGAACCCTTAAAAACAATGCAGTAACAAAATAAATAGTAAGACAAAAGGAACAAAATACACAATAATGAAGCTATATACAGGGAATACCAGATCATCGTGCAGCGGTACGAGGTACTTGAGGTAGATATGTACATGAAGCAGGGTAAAGTGACTTTGCTTCAGGATAGATAAGAATAAAATAAAGAACAGTAGCAGCAGCAGCAAATGATGTTTAAATGTGTGTGTGTATGCTTCTGTGGGTTTTGTGTGAGTGTCAGTGTAGAGTGCCTTCAGAAAGTATTCACACCTCTTGACTTATTCCACATTTTGTTGTGTTACAGCCTGAATTCAAAACTGATTACATTTGTTTTCTTACCCACCTACACACAATACCCCATAATGACAAAGTGAAAACATGTTTTTAGAAGTTTGGGCAAATTTATTGAAAATGAACTACAGAAATATCTCACACCCGAGTCAATACTTTGTAGAAGCACCTTTGGCAGTGATTACAGCTTTCAGTCGTCTTGGGTATGTCTATATCAGCTTTGCACATCTGGTTTTGGGGATTTTCTCCCATTCTTCCTTGCAGATTTTCTCAAGCTTTGTTAAGTTAGATGGGGTGCGGCGGTGAACGGCAATCTTCAAGTCTTTTCACAGATTTTAAATGGGATTAATGTCTGGGCCACTCAAGGACTTTCACATTTGTGTTCTGAAGCCATTCCAGCATTGCTTTGGGTCGTTGTCCTGTTGGAACGCAAATCTTCGCCCCAGTTTGTCATTTGCACTCTGAAGCAGGTCCTCATCAAGGATTTGCCTGTATTTGGCTTCATTCAAAGCATCCTCATAGCATGATGCTGCCACAACCATGGTTCACAGTACGAATGGTGTTAGACGGGTGATGAGCTGTGCCTGGTTTTCTCCAAACATAGTGCTTTGCATTCAGGCCAAAGAGTTAAATTTATGTTGGTTGCAACAAAACTGACGCATGCGCAACTATGGGGCTGGCTTAGATTGTTGACAATATGTAAACTATATTTTTTCTCCAAATATTTATGAAAAACAAATACATTTGCACAATGAGCACTTCTCTCAAATACATGGTTACAGTTGTTGGTTAGCTAGCAAATTTTTGCCATATTAGCGTGACATGACAGGAGTCAAAACAAGTCATGGTATCAGTAACAAGACACAACGAGCTAAAACGAGCCACCTAAGATTCCCCACAGCCTCTTGCCATTGTTTCTTGAGATCTGCCCTTTCAGAATCATAACACCACACAGCCTTCTGCCTCATCGATGCGCGTGCATAATTTTCGTGACATTGTCAGCCAACCCGCCTAAAGTGCAAGATAGGGTCAATGCAGATAGTCAGGGTAACCATTTCATTAACTATTTAGTAGTCTTATGGCTTGGGGGTAAAAGCTATTTACATTCACATTTTTGTCATTTAGCAGACGCTCTTATCCAGAGCGACATACAGTAGTGAGTGCATACATTTATACGTTTTTTCCGTACAGGCTACCTCGGAGACTGTTGGTCCGAGAGCCGATGCTACGGTACCGTTTGCCAGACGGTAGCAGAGTGAACATTCTATGACTTGGGTGGCTGAAGCCTTCTGCAATTTTCTGGGCCTTCCTCTGACACCGCCTGATATAGAGGTCCTGGATGGCAGGGAGCTCGGCCCAAGTGATGTACTGGGCTGTCAGCACAACCCTCTGTAGTGCTTTGCGGTCGAGGTCCGTGCATTTGCCATACCAAGCAGTGATGCAGCCAGTCAAGATACTCCCGATGGTGCAGCGGTTTTGAATGACGTCGGTATTGGTAAGGACCCACTGATGGCTATTACGGGTGGAACACATTATCCACAATTGATAGTCTAAGGACTCAATGAAATATTTTTTTTTAAAACAAAAACAGAATACGTCAGCAAAGATGAACGGCAATAAAGTAAGAAAGTGGAAGATAATTAGATATTAATTCACTTTGCTAAAAAACTGGCATAATAATATTCTACAGCTAATTGGCTTAGAAGAACTAACATGAGGTCGAGTGGACACATTAAATGTGTTTCTGTTACGTGACATCATAATTAGCATTTCAAAGGCAGAAGAGAGGAGCGAATAGGACCCGATATAACTTGGGGCTTGATGTGCTGTATGATATAACACGTCTGATCGAGGAAGGCTGTATATCCCCATGCACCAACGGTCGAAGAATACTCTATTGCCATAGTTAGGCTACACAGTAGGCTACACTTCTCATCTGCATGTATGACGATTGGAAAGATTCATAATAGTTAAGGCTATTGTTGACCCAAAACAACACACACATTTGCCCTGTATTTTCCACCCAGAATAGAAGAGTTACAAGATACATTCACACTATACAGTTTGTGTAATACTGCCATCACCTGGAGTATTATTTAAAAGGCAAATGTTTGGGAAAATGACAAGTTGACAACATTCTTTATGATAAACCATTTTTCTTTTAATTTGAGTGCGAGTTGAACATTCATTTATACAGTAGGTTTGCAAATCATTTTAAAGACCTCTTTATAAAAAACATCTGTAAAATAAGGGAACTCTTTCTGTACCAATTTCTGTAACATTATTAGAAAATAGCACTGTTGTAATACTTTAATTACATTTAAAACATTTTTTTGTTAACATTAGGAAGACAGAGTATTTAATATAAAGTCAATTAAATCAATCTACATGATACGTTTATACAGCTGAGGCCAACCATTGGCCTACATACATACAAAGTTACATAAAACGTGTGAAGTAAAATATATGTTCCTGCCGCAGTCTTTCAACACCATCCGTGAAATAAGTATAGTGTATGTAAGCTTTATGTTGTGTCTTATTAAATTATTTCTAACGTTTCAAATTGTACAATTTGGGGAGAAAGGAGCTATGTTGAATAAGATGAAGGTCTATGTAACACAGCTAGTAAGCGGACTAGTAGAGGCTACATTTGAGTTTTACTTTAATTAAACCCGTCACCGATATATGTAGGCTAGCTATAGCCATTTCACATTTCCTCTGTACAGTTAACGTACCACTACATGTATTGTCCCATCAGAGATAAGGCCGGTACCAGTGGGTACCCATACACACATGGAGGGTTTCACCAGTGTCATGTTATCTAACAAAGTACAGTATCTCATTTATTTGGACATTAAATCATTAGTACCACTGTGTACTAATGTCGACCATCATCATGATCAACAATCAATACGTATACAATTCTTTCCTCTTCTCAAATAAAAATAGGGCAAAGTGTTGAGGGAAATCTATGAAGCAGGTACAGAAAGGCCTCTTGGGAACATTCTTGCCTTAGGGAGCGACAGAGAGAATGTAGATGATGTGATGAAAAAAACAGGGCATTCTCTTTCACAATCTCTGTCTGTCCCTCTTGTCCTTCCTGTCGTAATAGTCACAGTGTTGGCACAGGGAATCTACAAAATGGCCTCTGAAATAGGCCTAAACCACTCCTTCTCCTCCTCCTGCTCCCCCTGTGGGTCGTCTTGTCAGGCAGATCAACGCTGGAGTACAGTAGTACCAGTAGTCCCATGGTTTCATATTCGAGGGGTTGGACCGATGGGCCTCACCTCTAGTCCGGGGTTTCAACAATGACTGGATCGACCAAGGGACCACATCCATTGATTCATAGTCCATTGTTTCAGATGCAGCCATCAATAGTGTGCCTTCTGGGAGAGGAACAGGCTTGTTCCAGGACAGGGGGCTGTGGATATTGCAGTCACCAGGGGGTCTGTGCGCTCCATATTGCAGTCCTGCAAACCCCCGGCTCCGTATTGCATTTAAGTGCTTCTTTTGCAGCCAGGCCAGGGAGCACAGCTAAGGCCGATGGAATCTGAGGAGTGAGGATGGAGGAAAGTCATGATGTGCACTGGCTAGGAAGATATAGGGTTGCAACTTACAAAAGTTTTAGAGAAATCCTGGTTAGTTTGGAGTCCCGGTCTGGGTATAAGTAAATAAAATATTCAGTTGGAAGAAATGTTGAAGTGTTCAGCAAAATCTGAGGAGTCATTTTGAACAATTGATAAGATCATTTATTGATATTGGTGTAGTATAGGACACTAACCTCGTATAAATCCTGCTCTCTTCGTGAACCTCCATCTCAGAGCTCTTGAACTCGTTCAGTTCCTTGCGGATGGCAGCCTAGATAGAATATAAAATAATAGAGGGAAGATTGCATCACATACCACCTGACTCACCGCTCCGGCAGCAACAACCTAGAGCAGTTCTACTCTGTAATACTGTTCAGTACAGACAAACAGATCAAACGATTAGTGCCTACACTTCAGAATTCCTGCTTTTTTCAATGATAATTAATTGACAAGCAAGCCACCGTGTCTGCTCTTCTCTCCAGCTGAGTCAGACATATTGGCGATAGCACACGTATCCAAATCCTGCCTCGTATCCAAATCCTGGCACCTCAACATTTCCATCCAATCATAAATATTAACTTTTCAATATTTTAACTTGTCAATAAAAGTTCTGTAACTTTAAAAAACAAAACAGCAAATGTTATAAGACCTCAGTTTTCATCTAAGAAATGGTCACAGATTTCAAACCTTTGAATAGCAGAAAGTATGCAATCATTTCAGTTTCAACCTCTTCTCCTAGCTTCACTGGACCAGGTAATATCCTGGGGACAACTCAGCACAGCCATTAAGCAGCGATTATATTGCATTCTTGGGATTTTTGTTTGACACAGTATATGTCTAGAATTCAAAACCCTGCTGAAATGGTAAAGGATCTCTCATTCTGAAAAGAGGTTTAAACCTCAGAAGACTTCCCGGTATAAATAAAGGTACAAATGTTTAAAAGTGTGTGACAGGCTGTTATTACCGTGACTCTATATCACAGTTGAAGAGCACTCTTACCATTAAAAAAAAATCTTTCACAACTTCATATTCATCATCTCCAGCACCACTTCAACATCAACATATGAAAATAGTGCATTTATGTTTTGAAGTAAAAAAAATATGACATTTCAGTTTAATCCACCAGAAAAGACAGAACAAATAATACAACAAAGTGGTTAAATTCAAATATACTAATTGATAAAAAAAACTATTTCTCGATAAAATGTTTAAAAAAGGTATAATCTTTGAAAATGATATCATCAATAGGACTGGTGGAGTTGTCACACATGCAGCTAACAAAAATATATGGAAATGTCTGCTCTACCCAAAATTACAACCAACTAATTGCAGCATTACTGCAAAAATGGAAGAGGCAAGTGGAAGGGGGGAAAAAGTAATGAACTTGTCTGTTGGACCTGCATTAAAGACCAAAATTGGTTAATGAAAATTGTGATAAATAAAAATATATACCTGTTTCATTTAAGGACCAAAACATTGACAGCTGTGCAATATAGATTGCAAAATAGTTGGGAAGAGATTTTCGATGTACCGATTCCATGGCACAAAACGACACCGGATTCAAAACTTCGAATTTTTCAATTTGAATTATTATACAAAATTCTTGCTACCAATAAAATGTTCATAAATATATATATATGATTTTTCTGCAAAGAGAGAGTCATTAGATAATTTTTTTCAGTACTGTCCATAGGTAGCTTGTTTTTGATCACAGGTCCAGGAATGACTGAAGAATTGCTACATTTACCTGGAGCTAAACCTGCAGATAGCAATACCGGGTGATTTGAAAAGTCATAGTCAATCGATTAATAATATAATAATACTTTTAGCAAAACATTTTCTTTAATTTATAAACCGTAGAAACTATGGGAATAGAAAAGTTCAGAACTTTTGTGAAGCATCAAATATATGGCAAATATAAATTCAATATGGATGGTGTTAAGAGATAGATGGGAGGGGTTGAATGGAGCTGAAGGGTGGGACTAATAACAACAAGATAACAAATGTAAAATATACTGTGTCTAAAATGTATATAGGTTCAGAACTTTTGTGAAACAGCAAATAGAAATCAAACTGGATGGACAGAACTAAAAACAAACAAAATATAACTATTGTTAAATAGATTGTGTCCATTAAATGTATATAGTACGTATAAGCTGGAAGTAGAAGCCTAAGTGTTGTTGTTCATTGGTTTACTCCATTTAGGAGACGGGTGGTAGGGTTAGCAGAAAATAATAAAGGAAAAAAAATATATATATATACAGTGGGGAGAAAAAGTATTTTAGTCAGCCACCAATTGTGCAAGTTCTCCCACTTAAAAAGATGAGAGAGGCCTGTAATTTTCATCATAGGTACACGTCAACTATGACAGACAAAATGAGAAAAGAAAATCCAGAAAATCACATTGTAGGACTTTTAATGAATTTATTTGCAAATTATGGTGGAAAATAAGTATTTGGTCACCTACAAACAAGCAAGATTTCTGGCTCTCACAGACCTGTAACTTCTTCTTTAAGAGGCTCCTCTGTCCTCCACTCGTTACCTGTATTAATGGCACCTGTTTGAACTTGTTATCAGTATAAAAGACACCTGTCCACAACCTCAAACAGTCACACTCCAAACTCCACTATGGCCAAGACCAAAGAGCTGTCAAAGGACACCAGAAACAAAATTGTAGACCTGCACCGGGCTGGGAAGACTGAATCTGCAATAGGTAAGCAGCTTGGTTTGAAGAAATCAACTGTGGGAGCAATTATTAGGAAATGGAAGATCTCACCTTGTGGGGTCAAAATGATCACAAGAACGGTGAGCAAAAATCCCAGAACCACACGGGGGGACCTAGTGAATGACCTGCAGAGAGCTGGGACCAAAGTAACAAAGCCTACCATCAGTAACACACTACGCCGCCAGGGACTCAAATCCTGCAGTGCAAGACGTGTCCCCCTGCTTAAGCCAGTACATGTCCAGGCCCGTCTGAAGTTTGCTAGAGTGCATTTGGATGATCCAGAAGAGGATTGGGAGAATGTCATATGGTCAGATGAAACCAAAATAGAACTTTTTGGTAAAAACTCAACTCGTCGTGTTTGGAGGACAAAGAATGCTGAGTTGCATCCAAAGAATACCATACCTACTGTGAAGCATGGGGGTGGAAACATCATGCTTTGGGGCTGTTTTTCTGCAAAGGGACCAGGACGACTGATCCGTGTAAAGGAAAGAATGAATGGGGCCATGTATCGTGAGATTTTGAGTGAAAACCTCCTTCCATCAGCAAGGGCATTGAAGATGAAACGTGGCTGGGTCTTTCAGCATGACAATGATCCCAAACACACCGCCCGGGCAACGAAGGAGTGGCTTCGTAAGAAGCATTTCAAGGTCCTGGAGTGGCCTAGCCAGTTTCCAGATCTCAACCCCATAGAAAATCTTTGGAGGGAGTTGAAAGTCTGTGTTGCCCAGCGACAGCCCCAAAACATCACTGCTCTAGAGGAGATCTACATGGAGGAATGGGCCAAAATACCAGCAACAGTGTGTGAAAACCTTGAAGACTTTTGACCTGTGTCATTGCCAACAAAGGGTATATAACAAAGTATTGAGAAACTGTTATTGACCAAATACTTATTTTCCACCATAATTTGCAAATAAATTCATTAAAAAAATCCTACAATGTGATTTTCTGGATTTTTTTTTCTCATTTTGTCTGTCATAGTTGATGTGTACCTATGATGAAAATTACAGGCCTCTCTCATCTTTTTAAGTGGGAGAACTTGCACAATTGGTGGCTGACTAAATACTTTTTCCCCCCAATGTTTACATATACACACATACATATATACATTGGGGAGAACAAGTATTTGATACACTGCCGATTTTGCAGGTTTTCCAACTTACAAAGCATGTAGAGGTCTGTAATTTTTATCATAGGTACACTTCAACTGTGAGAGACGGAATCTAAAACAAAAATCCTAGAAAATCACATTGTATGATTTTTAAGCAATTAATTAGCATTTTATTGCATGACATAAGTATTTGATCACCTACCAACCAGTAGAAATTCTGGCTCTCACTGACCTGTTAGTTTTTCTTTAAGTAGCCCTCCTGTTCTCCACTCATTACCTGCATTACCTGTACCTGTTTGAACTCGTTACCTGTATAAAAGACACCTGTCCACACATTCAAATCAAACAGACTCCAACCTCTCCACAATGGCCAAGACAAGAGAGCTGTGTAAGGACATCAGGGATAACATTGTAGACCTGCACAAGGCTGGGATGGGCTACAGGACAATAGGCAAGCAGCTGGTGAGAAGGCAACAACTGTTGGCGCAATTATTAGAAAATGAAAGAAGTTCAAGATGACGGTCAATCACCCTTGGTCTGGGGCTCCATGCAAGATCTCACCTCGTGGGGCATCAATGATCATGAGGAAGGTGAGGGATCAGCCCAGAACTACACGGCAGGACCTGGTCAATGACCTGAAGAGAGCTGGGACCAGAGTCTTAAAGAAAACCATTAGTAACACACTATGCCGTCATGGATTAAAATCCTGCAGCACACGCAAGGTCCCCCTGCTCAAGCCAGCGCATGTCCAGGCCCGTCTGAAGTTTGCCAATGACCATCTGGATGATCCAGAGGAGGAATGGGAGAAGGCCATGTGGTCTGATGAGACAAAAACAGAGCTTTTTGGTCTAAACTCCACTCGCCGTGTTTGGAGGAAGAAGAAGGATGAGTACAACCCCAAGAACACCATCCCAACCATGAAGCATGGAGGTGGAAACATCATTCTTTGGTGATGCTTTTCTGGAAAGGGGACAGGACGACTGCACCGTATTGAGGGGAGGATGGATGGGGCCATGTATCGCGAGATCTTGGCCAACAACCTCCTTCCCTCAGTAAGAGCATTGAAGATGGGTCGTGGCTGGGTCTTCCAGCATGACAACGACCCGAAACACACAGCCAGGGCAACTAAGGAGTGGCTCCGTAAGAAGCATCTCAAGGTCCTGGAGTGGCCTAGCCAGTCTCCAGACCTGAACCCAATAGAAAATCTTTGGAGGGAGCTGAAAGTCCGTATTGCCCAGCGACAGCCCCGAAACCTGAAGGATCTGGAGAAGGTCTGTATGGAGGAGTGGGCCAAAATCCCTGCTGCAGTGTGTGCAAACCTGGTCAAGACCTACAGGAAACGTATGATCTCTGTAATTGCAATTAAAGGTTTCTGTACTAAATATGAAGTTCTGCTTTTCTGATGTATCAAATACAAATGCAAATGAATTACTTAGAAATCATACAATGTGATTTTCTGGATTTTTGTTTTAGATTCCGTCTCTCACAGTTGAGGTGTACCTATGATAAAAATTACAGAGCTCTACATGCTTTGTAAGTAGGAAAACCTGCAAAATCAGCAGTGTATCAAATACTTGTTCTCCCCACTGTACACATACATATATACACACACACACACAAATACACTACCAGTCAAAAGTTGACACCTACTCATTCAATTTTTTTTAAATATATTGTAGAATAATAGTGAAGACATCAAAACTATGAAATAACACATATAGAATCATGTACTAACCAAAAAAGTGTTAAACAAATCAAAATATTTTATATTTAAGATTCTTCAGCCACCCTTTGCCTTGATGACAGCTTTGCACACTCTTGGCATTCTTTCAACCAGCTTCACCTGGAATGCTTTTCCAACAGTCTTGAAGGAGTTCCCACATATGCTGAGCACTTGTTGGCTGCTTTTCCTTCACTCTGTGGTCCGACTCATCCCAAACCATCTCAAATTGGGTTGAGGTCGGGGGATTGTGGAGGCCAGGTCATCTGATGCAGCACTCCATCACTCTCCTTCTTGGGCAAATAGCCCTTACACAGCCTGTAGGTATGTTGGGTCATTGTGCTGTTGAAAAACAAGTGATAGTACCACTAAGCGCAAACCAGATGGGATGGCGTATCGCTGCAGAATGCTGTGGTAGCCATGCTGGTTAAGTGTGCCTTGAATTCTAAATAAATCAGACAGTGTCACCAGCAAAGCAACCCCACACTATAACACCTCCTCCTCCATGCTTTACGGTGGGAAATACACATGCGGAGATCATCCGTTCACCCACACCGTGTCTCACAAAGACACGGCGGTTGAAACCAAACATCTCCAATTTGGACTCCAGACCAAAGGACAAATTTCCACTGGTCTAATGTCCATTGCTCGTGTTTCTTGGCCCAAGCAAGTCTCTTCTTCTTATTGGTGTACTTTAGTAGTGGTTTCTTGATTCACGCAGTCTCCTCTGAACAGTTGATGTTGAGATGTGTCTGTTACTTGAACTCTGTGAAGCATTTATTTGGGCTGCAATTTCTGAGGCTGGTAACTCTAATGAACTTATCCTCTGCAGCAGAGGTAACTATGGGTCTTCCTTTCCTGTGGCGGTCCTCATGAGAGCCAGTTTCATCATAGCGCTTGATGATTTTTGCGACTGCACTTGAAGAAACGTTCAAAGTTCTTGAAATGTTCCGTATTGACTGACCTTCATGTCTTAAAGTAACGATGGACTGTCGTTTCTCTTTGCTTATTTGATCTGTTCTTGCCATAATATGGACGGTCTTTTACCAAATAGGGCTATCTTCTGTATACCACCCCTACCTTGCCACAACACAACTGATTGGCTCAAATGCATTAAGGAGGAAAGAAATTCCACAAATTAACTTTTAACAAGGCACACCTGTTAATTGAAATGCATTCCAGGTGACTAACTCATGAAGCTGGTTGAGAGAATGCCAAGAGTGTGCAAAGCGGTCATCAGGGCAAAGGGTGGCTACTTAGATAAATATATATATTTACAAAAAATATATGGGGGATTGGAAATGATGCAGACAATTACATTGATGGAAGCTACAATCTATCTGCAATATTAAAAGCAGATCTACCTGCTTAATTGTTTTTAATGACATCAACCAATTAGTAGACAATTAGGCAATTATTAGGCAATGCCTACTCATAATTGGTCAAAATCACATGATACACACTGATGATGTCATTGGAAACACCTATCTTCTGCCATTTTTTTCCACAAAACATAGAAACGTGCCAGTTTCACATGATGTTGGGTTGGTGCTGGAGATTATTAACATGAAATTGCCCTTTAACTGAGTCTCACCTTATCAGAGGGAGTGAGCTTGGTCCAGGGTTTGTCTGCACGGCGGTCGTAGTCTTGAGTCGTGGTACACTCTACGTACTCATGGAAACGCAGGATCTTCCTGGCCTGAAGCTCTGCAATAGTGGGCCTCTGGGACAGCTGGGTGGGATGTAGAGAGGAAACACACTGAGTGACTGTCGAACTAAAATGATAAAGACTTTATGGTGGTTAGTTACATTGGAGTGTTTTATTTGTGTATCTGTGTATGATTGTTTTGTCACCAGTGTGTGTGTGTGTGTGTGTGTGTGTGTATATGCAGTTTAGTGTACTGTATCTATGTGTATTTTCATTCTGCAGTGTGTGTGTGGTGTGTGTGTATATGCAGGTTAGTGTACTGTATCTGTGTGCGTTTCCATCCTGCAGTGTGTGTATCAGGCGAACCTTTCTGGTGAGTCTGCGTTTGATCTCACTCCTCTCTGCCCTGATATCAGCTTCGTTCCTGGCTACAATAAGACAAGACATTCCATCAGAGGCAGAACAGAAACACAGCAGTCAGTCAGTCACAGACAGACAGACAGACGTAGACTGGACGAGGGCCCATATTCACTAAGCATCTCAGAATAGGAATGCTGATCTAGAATCCTTTTGTCCTTTTAGATCATAATGAATATGATTATATGGGCAGGGGTGACCTGATCCTAGACCAGCACTGATCCTGGCCCTGAGCTTCTCCTGGCGTCTACTAACGGGAGTCGTTTTAAAATCAGTCTTTCCCCTCTCTGGGACAAGCAAGTCCTTTGTCTTAGACACACTCTGCACATTATGTAGTCCTTTTACAGAGATGTCTAAGGACAAAGCTTTTAAGTAGTGCTTTCATAGTACTCTGAGGATAACCATAAGACATGTGAAAACTTTACATTTTGGAAATATGATCAAAAATTCTTAAAGTGTTGGCACTCTACCGTTTTGGTCCCAATGCTAAACTCAAGAACAAACAAGTGCAATGGTCAAATTGCACCATGACGCAAGCATAGCTTTTCTTGTATGGAAGTACTCTTACAGACCACAAGGGGGCATCTATAGGGCAGACAGACATTGATGTATGGCAGATGTCTACAACACATTGACATTTCACACTGTATTAGATACAGTTTTGGTTACATGTAAAACCAGAGAGATGCTTGTCTATCTAGACGTAAAGGACATTCAAGCAACAGAGGGGACATGAATGAAGCATGAAGTTGATATTGACTGGAAAACTATAATAAAATCGGACAGAAATGTAGACATAAAATAGAATTGACAGAGAGACTGTTACCTGGAAGGATGTTTCTCTGCTCCAACTCATCTGCTGTGGGTCTCTGACTCAACCTCCTGATTAAAGAAACACACCATGTTCAGGACAAGTGACCACACACACGTTCAGGATAAGGGAGCACACACACAACTAGATGTAGTTACCTGTTGAGCGTGGTACCGATCTTGTTCCTGAGTGCCTCCCACTGCTCCTTGCTCTGCCAGCCGACTCCATCCTGTCCCTCTCCTCCCTCCTGCTCCTCTCTCTCCTGCTGTCTCTCCAGCTTCAGGGCCAGGGTGTCCTTCCTCGTCACACGGCTGGCCAAGGCACCTGGGTGGTGCAGACAAACACAGACACACAGTTTAACCTGGGGCTATATACCTTTGCTCTACATCACGTTTGCACATTGTGAACTACTCAGTTTACACTACATTTGGTTTAGCTTTACCTGCAAGTAGCGTATTTTCCGCACTATAAGGCGCACTTAAAAGCCTTTAATTTTCTCAAAAAACGACAGTGCGCCTTATAATCCAGAGCGCCTTATATATGGATCAATTGGTTAATTGGTTGATCCATACTGGTTGTACACGGTGCTCAAGGCGCTCTGTCAAAATGTTTCAGTATGAAAAACCAATAAAAACAATTTAATAATAATGAAATGTTTCAGTACGACTTTGATATTCCCGTGAACCGCACTGTGGAGAAAACGGGGACCAGTACGGTGTCTGTACGCACCACAGGGAATGAGAAGTCATCCTTCACTGTAGTTCTCGCCTGCCAGGCTAATTGCCAGAAACTTCCACCCATGGTTATTTTCAAGAGGAAGACCTTGCCAAAAGAAAACTTTCCAGCCGGCGTCGTCAAAGCAAGCCCGAAGGGATGGATGGATGAGGAAAAGATGAGTGAGTGGCTGAGAGAAATTTACGTCAAGAGACCGGGTGGCTTTTTCCACACAGCTTCGTCCCTATTGATCTACGACTCCATGCGCGCCCATATCACCGATGCTGTCAAAAAACAAGTGAAGCAAACTAATTCGGAGCTTGCCGTCATTCCGGGTGGATTAACTAAAGAACTCCAGCCGCTAGATATTGGTGTCAACAGGGCGTTCAAAGCTAGACTGCGAGCTGCGTGGGAGCAGTGGATGACAGAAGGCGAACACACGTTCACCAAGACGGGGAGACAGCGCCGGGCGACTTACGCCACTATCTGCCAATGGATCGTGGATGCCTGGGCTGATATATCAGTCTCAACTGTGGTCCAAGCTTTCACAAAGGCAGGAATAATCTCTGAACTGCCAGGCAACAGCAGCGACACTGACTCGGATATTGACGAGAGGGAGCCGGGCAGGTTGGATGCCGTAGTCGCCCAACTGTTCAAATCGGACACTGAAGAAGAAGAATTCGAGGGATTCGTGGACGGGGATTGAACTGAAAAACTGAGCTTTACGTGTTATACGTAACTGAACAATGTTGAGTTATGCACTAACGTTTGATTTAGTGATATCAGACTGTTTCTTTTACTACGTGTTTACTGAATCAGGGAAAAGTTCCCCTCCACGTTTGGGAGAAGAGTGAGCAAGGCTGGGAGATATTGTTAATATGCACATTAACGTTTGAACAACGTTACCATGGGAGTGAACGGAGTTGTCAGAACGCTTAATAAAGTTTGACTTTATCTGACTGTTTTGTTGACATTCCCTTTAGCACAGCTCTATCTAGTGGATGCATAACGCAACCCCAGTCAAACGTTTGACTGCAGAATATTCTATTCTATGCGCCTTATAATCCGGTGCGCCCTATATATGAAAACAGTTCTAAAATAGGCCATTCATTGAAGGTGCGCCTTATAATCCGGTGCGCCTTATAGTGCGGAAAATACGGTAGTAAAATACATACAATGAAGGAAGAAAATAGAAAGATAGATACAGGCTCATATGGAATTTTTTACTAATAATGAAAGGGCCTTCCTTGATAGTATTGTACTTTTTCATTCTTTCAATTCGACTTCTGAGATTGAAATCAACACCAGACACGTGACATTATCAACAGACTTCAGATCTACTTACTAAATCAACACCAGACCCATGTGATATTATCAACAGACTTCAGATCTGCTTACTAAATCAACACCAGACCCATGTGATATTATCAACAGACTTCAGATCTACTTACTAAATCATCACCAGACCCATGTGATATTATCAACAGACTTCAGATCTGCTTACTAAATCAACACCAGACCCATGTGATATTATCAACAGACTTCAGATCTGCTAACTAAATCAACACCAGACCCATGTGATATTATCAACAGACTTCAGATCTGCTAACTAAATCAACACCAGACCCATGTGATATTATCAACAGACTTCAGATCGACTTACTTGGTGGCTCTTCGTCCTCGTCTTCATCGTCATCTCTGTAGAGGATGGGTCCGTCAGAGTCTGTCTCCTCATCCTCCTCCTCCTCACTGCTGTCTCCGGGACCCCGGCCCTCTGGAATCACACTGACCCTGGGTTCCCCCACCAGAACCCTCCTGCTCCTGGGCTCCAGCTCAAGCTGCCTGGGGGGCTGGGGGGGCAGCATCCGCCTGGGGTGAAGCTTCTCCAACTCCTCCTGCATGTCAAAGTCATCATCCTCAGGTCTGGAGAGAGGGAGCGAGAGAGAGATTGAGGGAGAAATGTCAACAATTGAGTCTGACTCTTGAATAGAGTGTGATCAAGTGGGTTTGAAGTATGAATATACAGTACTTGTCTTTTTCTATTGTAATGATTGGAGCCACGTTTTTAGCTCAACGTAAATATTGTTCCAGTTTGTATTGTGGTTAATTGACATGCTGTGACATTATGGAAGTATGATAAGTTCAGTAGTGTACTCACAGTCTGAGGGGTTCTATGGTGATGGGTAGAGAGCGTCGGACTCCAGCCTCAGTGAGAAACTCTGGAGGGGACTCAAACAGCATGGAGTGGGCTCTCTGGGATCCGTCTGGGTTAGCCTGGGCCGGGCTGGGGGAGCACAGGGCCCGCTGGATCAGGATGTGCAGGGGGATGGATGGGACTGAGGCTGGGGGGTGGCTGGGTGGCTCTGTGGTGGGGCTGGGAGGGTCCTTCTGATAGATAGGGAGGGGGACGGAGGCAGGGTTGGGGAGCGGTGGGTGGGAGCTGGGAGCGGACATGGGTATATGGGACAGAGGTCGGGGTGCTGGTGCAGGGTCAGAGGTGGGTAGTTGGAGGCCTACTGCCCTGAGGGTGTCCCGGTTGTCGTCTCGGACTGTGCTGGTGGGTACGGGGACAGTAGGTACGGGGACGGGGACTGGGACTGGGACTGGGACAGGACTAGAGGGGCCGGAGGTCTCTGCCTCAGGGGATGGGTCTTCAGAGTGGCGCTTGGTGACGGGGGTCATCCTCTTGGGCGGAGTGGGTGGAGAGCGCCTGGTGGGGGCAGGAAACACGATGACACCACTGCCAGCCTGAGAGAGCTCTGCTATGGAACAAAATGCACAACAGAATGAATACTAGTCATTTACAAGGACAGAACTGACAGAGAAGGTCAGAGGGAAAGAGCGAGGGCATTCACACTCAAGCAAACTGGTTAAAGGATTTGTTTAGTTGTTTAGTTTCATGAAGGCACAATGCATGTTTAACCTGTGGATGGATGGGATATATTTTAAAAAGCATGATGATATCAGGTCCAGATATTAGCAGCATGGCCTACATCTTATCCTATGGTTCAGATGGAAATCATTCAGTGCAGTATTAAAGCCTGAACAACCTGAAAAGCATTTTATTCGTCGGAATCCATTATTTTGAAGTCATTTCACACGTCTCAGCAGTCTCTCTTGACCTCTCTTTGAAGTCAAAGAAGACACATTCAACAAGCTGGGGCACACTGCCTGGCAGTTAGCCTAACTTCCATGCATTGTTTTCATTCCAGCCAAGTCAAGTTCATTCAGTCAGTTCAGCCACAACTCAATCCGACATGCAATGAATGAAGTAGTGGGGGACGATCAATCTATGCTGGTGGTGCATCACATCACTTGCTATGGGCAGAATGGGGAACAGTTAATCCGTTGTTCCAGTGCCATGCACTGTCAGACTAACCCATCAGACTTGGTGGTGTGCCACAACACGTGCTGTGGAGCGGTTATGGTTATTCAGTGCTAAGCCCATGGATGGACAGCGTCACAGCGTGGCATGGCAGGCTTGGGTTGTGCCCCTCATGACAGGGTACCTGAGCAGGCTTGTTCAGCCCGTCGACAGTGGAGGTAGGTGGGCAGGGAGGGGTAGAGGCCCAGCTCCCCCTGCCTTCTGCAGCTGGTCCAGTAGTGAGGAGGATGGGGACCGTGGACCCTGGAGGCCCTGTTCAATGTGGACGCTGCCAGAGATGTGAGGTCAGAGGTCAAGGCCTTCAGCAGGCTGGTTGAAGGTGTGGGACACTGAATAACTGGCCACTGTTGCCCAGCTAGGCAGATTGTTTCCTGAATTAATATCTAACCTAATATATATCTATATCTAACCTAAGGATAGACTTCGGATATAGAAAACTGCCAGGCATCATGATTGTCTGTTTACAGGCTGGTGAGGACGTAGGCCTATCGTATGCATATACTGTGATGATACGTAAACCGCTGCTCTCTTGCAGTGACAGAATGGATGTTTGCATTCTGTGGATCCTGTATGGTATATGACCAATGACAGAGTTGTATAACCATTGACTGATGACACTCTTGTGATTAGCCAGGAGACATGCAGGGAAAATAACATCAGCTGCAGGCTTTAACACTTGCTGAGTGTGCAGAACTGAATCGTGAGGTGTGTGTGTCAGTGTAGCAGCCAATCAGAATTCAGACTCAGAAAGCTTATCAGGGAGGAGATCCACATAATGAATACTATCATTTCTGCTGTACACAACTGTCAACCAGATGTCCACTGTATCTACAGTGGGGAGAACAAGTATTTGATACACTGCCGATTTTGCAGGTTTTCCTACTTACAAAGCATGTAGAGGTCTGTAATTTTTATCAAGGTACACTTCAACTGTGAGAGACGTAATCTTAAAAAAAAATCCAGAAAATCACATTGAATGATTTTTAAGTAATTAATTTGCATTTTATTGCATGACATAAGTATTTGATCACCTACCAACCAGTAAGAATTCCGGCTCTCACAGACCTGTTAGTTTTTCTTTAAGAAGCCCTCCTGTTCTCCACTCATTACCTGCATTAACTGCACCTGTTTGAACTCGTTACCTATATAAAAGACACCTGTCCACACACTCAATCAAACAGACTCCAACCTCTCCACAATGGCCAAGACCAGAGAGCTATGTAAGGACATCAGGGATAACATTGTAGACCTGCACAAGGCTGGGATGGGCTACAGGACAATAGGCAAGCAGCTGGTGAGAAGGCAACAACTGTTGGCGCAATTATTAGAAAATGGAAGAAGTTCAGATGCCGGTCAATCACCCTCGGTCTGGGGCTCCATGCAAGATCTCACCTCGTGGGGCATCAATGATCATGAGGAAGGTGAGGGATCAGCCCAGAACTACACGGCAGGACCTGGTCAATGACCTGAAGAGAGCTGAGACCACAGTCTCAAAGAAAACCATTAGTAACACACCATGTCGTCATGGATTAAAATCCTGCAGCGCACGCAAGGTCCCCCTGCTCAAGCCAGCGCATGTCCAGGCCCGTCTGAAGTTTGCCAATGGCCATCTGGATGATCCAGAGGAGGAATGGGAGAAGGTCATGGGGTCTGATGAGACAAAAATTTAGCTTTTTGGTCTAAACTTCACTCACCGTGTTTGGAGGAAGAAGAAGGATGAGTACAACCCCAAGAACACCATCCCAACCGTGAAGCATGGAGGTGGAAACATCATTCTTTGGGGATGCTTTTCTGCAAAGGGGACAGGACGACTGCACCGTATTGAGGGGAGGATGGATGGGGCCATGTATCGCGAGATCTTGGCCAACAACCTCCTTCCCTCAGTAAGAGCATTGAAGATGGGTCGTGGCTGGGTCTTCCAGCATGACCACGACCCGAAACACACAGCCAGGGCAACTAAGGAGTGGCTCCGTAAGAAGCATCTCAAGGTCCTGGAGTGGCCTAGCCAGTCTCCAGACCTGAACCCAATAGAAAATCTTTGGAGGGAGCTGAAAGTCCGTATTGCCCAGCGACAGCCCCGAAACCTGAAGGATCTGGAGAAGGTCTGTATGGAGGAGTGGGCCAAAATCCCTGCTGCAGTGTGTGCAAACCTGGTCAAGACCTACAGGAAACGTATGATCTCTGTAATTGCAAACAAAGGTTTCTGTACCAAATATTAAGTTCTGCTTTTCTGATGTATCAAATACTTATGTAATGCAATAAAATGCAAATTAATTACTTACAAATCATACAATGTGATTTTCTGGATTTTTGTTTTAGATTCCGTCTCTCACAGTTGAAGTGTACCTATGATAAAACTTACAGACCTCTACATGTTTTGTAAGTAGGAAAACCTGCAAAATTGGCAGTGTATCAAATACGTGTTCTCCCCATTGTATGTATACAGTGTGCGAGCGTGAAATGGAGTAACGTATCTATGAGGACCATGCCTTCAGAATGGCATAGGACTTTTCTAATTGTGTCAAAACCACTGTTACTATACAGACTGTTGGAATGGGCTCCAGACCTAGGGCAGCGGACATGGAATACTGAGGCAGCCAATCAGAGCCCTCGATGCTCTGGAGTTGCTCCAGGCCTGTCGGAGGAGTACCAGCACGGCGTTGTGTGTGTGTGTGTGTGAGAGTTGTGCTTGCATAAACGCGGCAAAGACAAGCCCTTGCCTGCCCCTCTCTTTGGAGACTCGCTGTACAAACTGCAGACTAGGGCCTTTTCTTGTTTGGACAAAAGTCTGTCCTCTCTCCTCCGTGACCAGGAAACTGATGAGTGTTCGAGGAGAGTGTCAATTCGTTAGTAGGCAAACAGAAGATGGTCCTCCCCTCCTCGATAGTCTCCTTTTGGCGAGGAAGCGCAAGTGTACCCTACACGAGTCCTTCACGGAAGCGTTTTGAAATCTGCCACACCCCATTGTTTTCTCGAAGGAGAAAAGGATGCAAACGTTTAAAAACGATATGCTACTTATCGTTTTATCTATAAAATGTTGTGCACAACTTAATTTCACTTTACACATTTATTTTGGGATCCACCCTTGTAAACGTAATTTGCCTGATGCGAGTGGAGGACAGTCATTTCATACAAGCGCATTTTCGTCCACGTTCCCTCTCCTCGCCACCTCTCCTCGATTACCTTTGACCTTTTTCAAAAGGATGTGAGAGGATGCAGGAGTTGAGCAAATCCAATTGAGAAAAGGCCTAGGTACTGCATAGAACACCCTGCGTTTCAGTACGCATCGAGAGTAACCACTATACTGCCGGAGGACACATTCTGTTGAAACAGCAAAGGCCACTTAGAAACACCAGAGTCATTGCTTTGGGTTCAAAAAGGTCAAACGTAATTGTAACACTTTACTTGAAGGGTACAGGACTTAACTCATCCATAAACCTACGTAGTACAATTATAACCAGTACATTATGGAGCTAAACAGCAGTACAAACATGGAGCAAAGGCAGGGTAAACTCACCAAGCAGAGCGGCCTGGCTGTTCCGGTTGGAGGGCTTGGGTGGGGGTACAGGTGGCTGCTTGGCATGGGGGGGTACAGGGGGAGGGGTGGCCGACTCCCCCGTGGTGGAGGATGGGGGTACATGGCTGGACCGCGCAGGGGGGACGGGGCTGGAGTGGGTGGGAGGAGGAGGAGAGTCATCACTGATGACCAGGGAGACCGTCCTGGGTGGCTTGGCCACCGCTATAGCAGAGGAGGTGGAGGAGGAAGGTGGGGTGGAGGTCCGGCCAAGCTCCGTGGAGGTGGTGCTGGTGGGTTGGCCCTTGGGAGGGAGCATGGCCTGTTTGGTAGGAGGCTGCGCTCTCCGGGAGGAGGAGGAGTTAAAGGCGGAGTCAGGGTCTGGGGTGGGGCCAGGGGCGAAGCGGACACCAGTGGACTCTACAGACAGGACATGGAGAGACACACCACACACAGAGCGGTAAGGAGGACAATAAGTGTTTCTATTCCCCCTGGTCCCTGAGGCTGAAAGTGCAGCCACAACAAACACACTGTTACTGTACAGTGCTGAGCACATAGAACACAGCGCTGAGATAAGCTGCAACTCAACGTTAGACAATAAGCAGCTTTTTAACAAATTAACTAACTAAAGACAGATTCTGGTCAAGTCCTCACACCTTTCACAGGGGTGAGAACAAGGAGATTTACGAGTTACCAGATATACACGCAGTAGAATGGAAAGAATATCCTAGACACTCAACTAGCAGAGAGTAACACATTGCCCTTGCAAAGTGCCCAATAAACTGGGGGTGGTGCTTTGAAATACTTTTTTCCACTAATAATTATTGAACTTCAACACAACTGCAGAGCAACCTTCCGACGTACAAGTGAGTGCATTGACTTTTACGTCCCCAGGCAGTTTCTTACCTGCTCTTCCGCGGGTCTCCCCTCCTTTGGTCTCCTCAGATGGCATGTACTTGGGCAGGGTGCTCCCGCGGTAAGCCTCGGAGGCAGGGCGGAGCCTGCTACGGAGGTCCACTGAGGAGGTCTTCTGCATACTGGGTCTCAGCTCTATCTCGGAGTGGGGTCTGACCACTGGACGGTTCCCTTCTACAGGTCTCAAGAGGGTCTCTGGTTTCCCAGCCCTAGGACTACTTCTCCTATCCCTCTCCTCCCCCCTCTTTTCCCCATCGTCTCTGCGATCACGATCATCTCTCCTTTCGTCTGGCTTTTCACGATCGATTCTCTTATCATCTTTTCTTTCCCGGTCATCTCTCCTCTCTCGATCATCTCTCTTCTCATCTCTCCAGTCGTCTCTTTTCTCTTTTCCCTCTCTGTCATATTTTCCTCCTTTCCCATCTCTCTTCTCCTTGTCCTCCCTCTCTCGATCATCTCGGTCCCTCTCTTCTTTCCCTACCCTATCATCTCTCCTCTCCCTGTCATCTTTCTGGTCTCTCTTTTCCCTGTTGTCTTTCTCATCCCTCTGTTCCCCTCCCTCCCGGTCTCTCTCCTCCCTCTCCCTCTGATCCTTTCTTTCTCTCTCATCACGAGGATCTCTCCTATTCTCTTTACCCTCTCTCCTGTCCTCTTTACCCTCTCTCCTGTCCTCTTTACCCTCTCTCCTGTCCTCTTTACCCTCTCTCCTGTCCTCTTTCCTTTCCTCCTTCCCCTCTTTCCTCTCCTCTCTCTTGTCCTCTTTCCCCTCTCTCCGGTGCTTCCCCTCCTCCTGAGCAGGCCCTCTCGGTAGTGACCCTCCTCTCCTCTCCGACACGTCAGAGGGCAGTCTGCTCCGTCTTGCCAGATCTATGGCCGATATCCTGGTGTGCGAGTCTACGTCCAGTGGGGCTCGGTTGGAGCGCGAGGCATCGGAGGGCACCCTGCTCCTGCTCCGGGGGTCGTCTGAAGAGACAGTGCCCCGCCGGGGGTCCTCTCCCTGGGGCAGCCAGGTGGGGTTGAGCCCTGGGCCTGGCTCCCCCCGGGACCCCCTGACCCCTGACTCTGAGACCCGGTCAACGTTCATGGGTACTGGCTGGCCATTCTTCACCAGCGGACCTTTAGAGTGGTTCACATCGTTGCTCTCTGTCACACAGAAACACATTCTGATAAAGAATTTGAGGTCAGCAAAGACATTCTCTACATCTCAACATTCTCTAAAATCGTTACCCTACTACAGTTTTGTTTCTCATTGATAAAATATAGGCTACTACGTGGTCCTCTGTAGCTCAGCTGGTAGAGCACGGCGCTTGTAACGCCAAGGTAGTGGGTTCGATCCCCGGGACCACCCATACACAAAAAATGTATGCACGCATGACTGTAAGTCGCTTTGGATAAAAGCGTCTGCTAAATGGCATATTATTATTATTATTATCTCTGTAGGTCCTTTGCCTGTCAGGGCCCGTATAAACAAAGCATCTCCGAGTAAAAGCGCTGATCTAGGATCTGTCCATATAATCGTATTCATTATGATCTAAAAGGCTAAACTGATCCTAGATCTGCACTCCTACTCGGAGAGGCTTTGTGGATACGGGCCTTGGTCTACATACCATTCTCTGGAAGTTCTTTCAGTACTCCTCTGTCTATCAGCTCCTGACGAGGTCTCCTTACCGAGATCTTCCTCTCCAACACTGAAAGTAAACAAAAGTTTCATTTTCCCGTAACAAAGGTGGCTTGATGAGTAACCTTGTCTGAGACCATGAAGACTTCAGCTGACAGGTCCTTACAGTGCTGTACAATCCATACATCAATGTTACTATTTCTAAAGGGTAGGTACCTATTGAGGTTTCGATAAACGTCTCACTGCTCTTCTTCTTCCTCCACTTCCAGGGCTTGAACATATTGCCGAAGCTGGAGAACTTGCCCTTGCGTTTGGAGGGAGGGGTTTCGCCTGATGAGTTCCCCCCCTCGCTCCCTGTCGTACTATGCTGCAAGTCCACTTCATCATCTGGAGAGGGAGGGAAAGAGGGAGGGAGGGGAGTGGCATGATGCTTATTACAAGACATAAGATGAAAGCAAGGAGGATAGAAAATGATGATAGGCTAGGCCCCAACTAACTCTACAGTGCTACAGTATGTCTTCAACAGTTTCGTTACAGTATGAACTAGGCCTGAGCTGGTTGGTGCTACCTTCCACTGTCATGTTAGAGTACAGAGTGTGTGTGTTATACTTGACCACAGTACAGACTGTGAGCCAGGCTTAAAGCTGAAGGCTGCTCTGAATTCCACTCTTATTGGCTGCCGAGTTGTACCAGCTGGCAGAGATTCTTATATTGGTATATTGATAATACATCTTTGGCTGCTTCTCTAACTCAAGAGTTTCTAACATTGAACGGAGATTGTCTTTCCATTCTGGTAGGGAGAAGTCTGAGTGGGATGGTTTCAATACTGTTTCAATACAAACATAAGCCCATCACACTTACAGTCAAGAGTACAAACATAATTACTACAGAAACTGTAGACAGAGAGAAGAATAAACAAACAAGCAACACATTGGAGAGGATAAGGTTAGTCTCCCAGAAACCATGACTCATAACTGGTCTCCAGCTGATGACATCACATGCTGCTGTAAACCATGTTATAGATACCGGAAGACTCATTATGGGAGTGAAATATCCACACATTCTTAGGTGATGAGTCAACCACACATAAACACTTGCTGCACAAAAGGACGGTGCTTAGGACATACAGCATGTTGATGGTTGACTGACTGAATCAATGCACTCCCTAAGGAACCAGCCAGGAAGCTTTTAATAGCATGAGTTCTATATAAAACACCAGACATATGTTACAGTCATCTGCCTTGTTTTGCTGAGGTCACACCAATCCAGTCTATGGGTCACACTTTAGGACAGAGGCAATTTGCAACTTCATCCTCAATTCCCCTCATCCTCCCACTCCTTCCATCTCTCCCTCATCCCCCTCTATTCTGACTCTTACCTGAAAACACCCTGGCATGAGAAAGAGAGATCAAAGGTAAGTGGAGAGCAACAGATCGAATTCACTCGATTGGCAATTTGACAGATTCAAAGAGCGAGAAAGAGAGAGAGCGAGAGCGAGAGAGAAGGCATATCGTGCCACTAAATAGTATGAATAGACCTAAGAATGCTAAAAACAGGATACCAGTACAATTATTTGATGGCAAAGGTGTTTGCTAAACAAATTAATAATGTTATAAAAGACGAGTAGAGAGAGCAAGACGAGAGAGAAAGAGAGAAAGAGAGGGACAGCAAAACAACAAAGAGAGAGAGGTTGGGAGACACAAGAAATGGCAAGTCGTGTGAGACGGGGCCAGGATTCAGAAAGGGAAGATGGGAGTGTTGATATCCCTGTGGCAGGCAGGTGCAAGTGCCAGGGCTAGGGCACCTCAGTTCCAGAGAAAACCGTTTGAAAGAGAAAGCGACAGAAGCCAGTCAGTGCCAGCAAAAACAAAACAAATGAAAGAATCCCACCAGAGCTTTGCGTTCAGTTGTTGTTTTGTCTGTGTCCTCTAGCCTGAAGATTACATCAGACCAAATGCCAATATGCATCTGAAAACATCCATCTAGTGTGCATAATATGTACTGTAAATACTGTAGTTCCACATCCAGGCCACATGGCAATTGTGCTGGTCTGGAAACAGTGAACACTCAGAGATGCAGTTCCCTACAGTACTGTAGTTCTTCTCAAGGTTAGTCTAGGCTAAATGTAGTAGCCGCAGCAAAGCTCAGGACATTATATTTCATTTGGGTACAGACAGTTCCATTCAGGAACAACTGAGGAATCATACTTTATCACGGTCACCAGAACTATCAATTCCAACTGAACTTAAAACACCAGCAATCACTATGCTAAGTCACCATAATTATTTGTATTTTTTTTTGGGGGGGGGGGGGGGGGGGGGGGGGGGGAATATATTGGAGATTTTGAGATTAAGGGTTCAAACCGCCGTGTCTTTGTGAGACGCGGTGTGGGTAAACGGATGATCCCCGCATGTGTAATTCCCACCGTAAAACATGGAGGTGGTGGTGTTATGGTGTGGGGTTGCTTTGCTGGTGACAATGTCTGTGATTTATTTAGAATTCAAGGCACACTTAACCAGCATGGCTACCACAGCATTCTGCAGCGATACGCCATCCCATCTGGTTTGGGCTTAGTGGGAGTATCATTTGTTTTTCAACAGGACAATGACCCAACACACCTTCAGGCTGTGTAAGGGCTATTTTACCAAGAAGGAGAGTGATGGATGCTGCATCAGATGACCTGGCCTCCACAATCCCCCGACCTCAACCCAATTGAGATGGTTTGGGATGAGTTGGACCACAGAGTGAAGGAAAAGCAGCCAACGAGTGCTCAGCATGTGGGAACTCCTTCAAGACTGTTGGAAAAGCATTCCAGGTGAAGCTGGTTGAGAGAATGCCAAGAGTGTGCAAAGCTGTCATCAAGGCAAAGGGTGGCTATTTGAAGATCCTCAAATATAAAACATATTTTGAATTGTTTAACACTTTTTTGGTTACTACATGATTCCATATGTGTTATTTCATAGTTTTGCTGTCTTGACTATTATTCTACAATGTAAAAAAATTGTAAAAATAAAGAAAACCCCTTTTTTTCCCCCCCAAACTTTTGACTGGTAGTGTATACATTTTACATAACGCAGTCACATAACAATAATACATTACCAAACACTCTTTAATCCCACCCCTCAGCCACTCTAAGTCTACCCCACCTATCACCATAGACCACCCACCATAGACCACCCATGCACTGTCAAATGTGGGACCTTATATAGACAGGCGTGTGCCTTTCCAAATCATGTCCAATCAATTGAATTTACCACAGGTGGACTCCAATCCAGTTGTAGAAACATCTCAAGGATGATCAATGGAAACAGGATGCACCTGAGCTCAATTTCGAGTCTCATAGCAAAGGGTCTGAATACTTATGTAAATAAGGTATTTGTTTTTTTATTTGTAATAAATGTGCAAAATTTTCTAAAAAACCTGTTTTCGCTTTGTCATTATGGGGTATTGTGTGTAGGTTGATGAGGATTTTGTATTTTATTTAATCAATTTTAGAATAAGGCTGTAACGTAACAAAATGTGGAAAAAGGGGTCTGAATACTTTCCGAAAGCACTCTGTGTTGCACTGTATTTGTCACCATGTGTTACAAGTTTATTGTATGTAATAACTACATTACATAACTTTACCAACTCAGTTTAAAGTACGCAATACTTACTACTATGCCTACACAACATTAACATTCCCCAACGGGCTCCAATATAAAACCCAGTTGTTCAGATAAAATAGCTAAACCAAGGCATGTCATTTGTTTAGTTATTAAAGAGTTGAAAGTGCAGTGCACAACAAAACAATGCTAACCTATGAAAGTCCACAACATTACACAGAAAACACTGACTGACCAGACCATGTCATGTGGTTCACATTTTTACAAAGGAAAAAAACCAACGGGGGCTAAATTACAGATGAATCAGAAACCCACAATACAAGCCCAATAAAGTTGAGCACAAGAAGAAGCAGGATAACAGGGAGAGGACTTTATTGTCTATTGTCCACAGAAATTAGCATGCTGCTTTACCCCATCACCTCCAAGACAATCTCAGATGAGCCACCACCCCACATGGTACAGAGATCACGACATTTAGGCCTAAACCCAGCAGTAATGTGTTCTTCTCACTGACTAGAACTCACAATCCAAGCCTAAATAACTATACTGAGCCACCATGCCATCAAGAGACCTCTCTCTGCACACAGTTTACTATGGAACAGTCAAGTTGTCCAAATCCAACAGTTATGTGTTCCGCCCTCTGACAGACACAGCCACAGCAGCAAAAACAGGTTTCTGTGTTTGTCTCTGTGTATTAGAGGGAGTGGAACGATGGGGGCTTTAGGCTAGGCAAACTGTACAACGCCATAATAAGAGATGGAGTCCTGAGACACACACACACAAACAATGGCAGCTGGTGCCTTGCACTCCAAGCTCCACTGTTTTTAATAAAGAATCCCATGTTCCATCGTAAAACAAGGGGGGAGAGACAGCGAGGGAAAAAGAGGAGTTTAGACAGCGGAGTGGGTTGGTGAATTACACAATCACCACATTCCATCAGCATACATTCCCTCACACCTGTTTGTGCCTGCCCTTCTCTGCCTCCTCTCTCTCTCCCTTCCAACACAAAAACACCTACAACACATCTCTTCCATATCCGCCTACCCTTTCTCTTCCATGCTAACACAAACACTCTACAAAACATTCCACAAAAAAACTCCTCTTCCAAAGACTCAGCTGGAGACCACCAATACAAAAGCAGGTCCTTAGGTCCTGTTACATCCTCTGTTCTTCCACACTAACACAAACAAATAGCGCTCTACTGAGTAGGCTACTTCACAAACTCCTCTTCCAAAAACAAATACAAAAGCTAATGTCCTCAGGTTCTGTACAGGTTCCTGTTCTGTCCCTGGACTCACCAGTGTTGTGTTGAGCAGGTTGCAGTTGGTGTTGCTGGGGCACTGTCTCAGCATAGCTGGCACTCTGTCCCATGCTACCCCACGCCCCTGTCCTCTCTGGCCCACCGGCCCCTAACTCTCCTGGGGTCCACGGCAGGGAGGAGGGATCCAGACACAGAGGAAAAATAGATCCCCTGCTACGATCCTCGCCAACAAACCCAACCGCCTTAACGCTCCTGTAACCCAAGACTCTCCTACTCCCTTGGTTCACGTCGCTCTCTTCCTCTCTTTCTTTCCGCCCTTCCATCTATTTCTCTGTGTGTTTTGGTCTCACACTCTCACACACACTCGCTTACTCACTCAGTTTGCTAAATCCCTCCTCCCTTCCCTCTTGTCTGTCTAGCTGACTTCATAAATAAGGTACACCAGTTATAAGGCAGCGGCATACCGGCAGACTCCGATGCCGGTCATTCCTCACTGCAGATTTTTCAGGGGCAAAGTTCACAGGAGGCGAGAGAGCAAGCTCTCTGGATAAAATACCTGGGTTCAAATACTATTAGAAATCATTTCAAATACTTTATCTGGCCTTGATTGAGCTTGCCTGGCACAATGGGACGAATATAATAGAGTGCAAACTCCACCCATCTGGCACTTCAGGCAGACTAGAGAAAAAGCTAACAGTATTTGAGAGAATTCAAATGGTATTTGAACCCAGTTCTGCTGGGGAGAACAGTGGTTGGTAACTGGAGGGGAGGGCTCCCTCTCTGGGGAGAGGAGAGGTTTGGTAACATGAGAAGTGGTGGAAGGTGAGACGGGTCTAGGTGGAGGGTGGAGCTCCGCACCAGGCAAAGCGGATGTGATGTCACGGAGGTGTCGTATTACACACCCGGAGTCAACCATATAGCCGATAATGTGTAGTGCATCACCCATGAGTGAAGGGAGGATTATAAGCATGTGTTGTTGTACAGAAGGCCTGCTGAATGTTAGAGCTGTTGCTGACAGGTTAATTGAAACACTTTTCTTATTTTATGGATAGATTAGTTTGGATGGACAGTTTGAGGACAGAAGTGTTGAGAAGGAGATAAGACACTAGCATAACAGCTCACCTAAGATGCCCCAAACTCAACACAATGCTAAATCAACACCACCACAATATCTCAGGGCACGCTGAATTCTACACCGGAGCACACATTTCCTCAAGAGGTGTTTCTGCTTTCTATCGGTCTTTCTTTCACAGTGGGACTATTGGGGGAAGTTAACTAACAAAGGAGCAGGAGATTTCAGTGAGTGCTTAATGTGTCAGTCAGAAATCCCTGTTGAGCATGGAGAACAGCAATCTTTCTTCAGTCCTGTTGTACTGAACTGTGGTAGTAGTGAGTGGTGTGGTTACATGTAAATCAGTCTGTTTAGGATGAGAGGGGGAGAGGAGAAATAGCTCCTGGAGGGAGAGATAAGGTGAGTTGGAGGGAGGGAGGTAAGGAGAACGTATGTCTTTCCTACTGCGGGCTGTGCAATAGACTAGGGATGCAACCCCTTCAAGTCTGCAAGAAGATGCAACCCAGACTCTACAAACACATTCCATTCACTGAGAATCTTATCAAGAGCAGATTTGAGAATGACCAGACCAGTCAGCGTTGCCTGGTTGACTATGAGGCCAATTTGTGAATAGCTAGGCCTATAGCCTAACAAACTATCGTTGATTTTAAATCACTCCTGGAGAAGAAATCTTGACGAGCTGTATAAATGCCTACACTCAAACTCAGTCTGTGGCAATATATAAAACATTAGATCATTAGCCTACCTTAGAATGTGATAAACTGCTATGAAATACTGTAAGCCCTGCTGGATGACAGATGTTTTCTCTAAGTAATACCAATAGCAATATGCAAAAAGTCCATCTCAAACTATGACTGCGGCGCATGAAGGAATCAACAGTTGCTTCTTCCCCTAGCCTAGCTAGAATAGCCTAAGACGAAGTGAACGAGTAGCCTAATTAAACTAAGCAGTCACAGAACTGCATTTACTCAACCTTCACAGACTAGCCTATAATAAAAGACAACCAAACTCACATAGCCTGAGTTGAATTGTGTGAAGAAAATAAAATATATAATTTTATTGGTCACATACACATATTTAGCAGATGTTATTGCGGGTGTAGCGAAATGCTTGTGTTTCTAGCGCCAACAGTGCAGTAGTATCTAACAATTCACAACAATACACACAAATCTAAAAGTAGAAGAATAGAATTAAGAAATATATAAATATTCGGACGAGCAATGTCGGAGTGGCATAGACTAAAATACAGTAGAATACAGTATATATATATATATATATATATATATATATATATATATATATATATGAGATGAGTAAAGTAGTGGCTAGTGATCCATTATTAAAGTGGCCAGTGATTCCAAGTCTATGTATATAGGGCAGCAGCCTCTAAGGTGCAGGGTTGCGTATACGGGTGGAAGCCGCCTAGTGATGGCTATTTAACAGTCTGATGGCCTTGAGATAGAAGCTGTTTTTCAGTCTCTCCGTCCCAGCTTTGATTCAGCTGTACTGACCTCGCCTTTTGGATGATAGCAGGGTGAACAGGCTGTGACTCGGATAGTTGTTGTCCTTGATGATCTTTTTGGCCTTCCTGTGACATCGGGTGCTGTAGGTGTCCTGGAGGGCAGGTAGTTTGCCCCGGGTGATGCGTTAGGCAGACCGCACCACCCTCTGGAGAGCCCTGCGGTTGCGGGCGGTGCAGTTGCCGTACCAGGCGGTGATACAACCCGACAGGATGCTGTCAATTGTGCATCTGTAAAGGTTGTAGGTGCCAAGCCAAGTTTCTTCAGCCTCCTTCAGATCGTCAGTGATGTGTACACCGAGGAACTTGAACCTTTCCACCTTCTCCACTGCGGTCCCATCGATGTGGACAGGGGCATGCTCCCCCTGCTGTTTCCTGAAGTCCACGATCAGCTCCTTTATTTTGTTAACGTTGAGTGAGAGGTTATTGTCCTGGCACCACTCTCCCAGGGCCCTCACCTCCTCCCTGTAGGCTGTCTCGTCATTGTTGGTAATCAGGCCTACTACCGTTGTGTCGTCTGCAAACTTGACGATTGAGTTGGATGTGTGCTTGGCCACGCAGTCATGGGTGAACAGGGAGTACAGGAGGGGGCTGAGCACACACCCTTGTGGGGCCCCAGTGTTGAGGATCAGCGAAGTGGAGATGTTGTTTCCTACCTTCACCACCTGGGGGCGGCCCGTCAGGAAGTCCAGGACCCAGTTGCACAGGGCGGGGTTTAGACCCAGGGCCCCAAGCTTAATGATAAGCTTGGAGGGTACTATGGTGTTGAATGCTGAGCTATAGTCAATGAACAGCATTCTTACATAGGAATTCCTCTTGTCCAGATGGTATAGCAGTGTGCATTGCGATTGCGTCGTCTGTGGATCTATTGGGGCTGTAAGCAAATTGAAGTGGGTCTAGGGTGTCAGATAATGTAGAGGTGATATGATCCTTCACTAGCCACTCAAAGCACTTCATGATGACAGAAGTGAGTGCTAAGGGGCGATAGTCATTTAGTTCAGTTACCTTTGCTTGGGTACAGGAACAATGGTGGACATCTTGAATCATGTGGGGACAGCAGACTGGGATAGGGAGAGATTGAATATGTCCGTAAACACTCCAGCCAGCTGGTCTGTGCATGCTCTGAGGACGCGGCTAGGGATGCCGTCTGGGCCGGCAGCCTTGCGAGGGTTAACATGCTTAAATGTCTTACTCACGTTGGCCACGGAGGAGGAGAGCCCACAGTATCCAAAGCGACTTAGTCATGCGTACATTTTCTTCCCTCTTTAAAAAAAAAAAAAACGTATGGTGGTGCCGGGAATCAAACCTACTACAACTGCCATGCTCTACCAACTGAGCTACACAGGTCCACCATAATCAAATGAATGATTCACAGAAAGGTTGTCTGTGGGAATGTGCTGCTTGTTTGTTGACACTGTAAAGCGCCTCAACGGCAGAGACAACTACGATGAAGCAATGAGTTGACACAGAACATATAACACGTGCCTAAACCGTTCAGTTACAGGTGGAACAATTCTTGGTTTGATAACTTCCTTCACACTAGTTCAAACCTATGTCAATGTTTCAAACAGTAGCTATTTTGAAGTGTGTAACCCATAAAAGTAGGCAACTGTTTCCTGCTCTGAATGAAGTAGTCAGTGTGTGAATGTCTACAGTGAATGACCTTAGCTTAAAATAAAGATTGAATGTTTGTGTGCGTCTTTTCAAATCTGACACTACTCAATTCAAAAACCTGTTTGCCTCTGTTGAGCCACAGTGCACACCACTGTAGCTCTCTCTAGAGGTGGAACCAGGTAATGACATGAAACAGAGCTCTTTCAACAGGAAATGACAGGCAGGAATGTTAGGAATGCGAGGCTATAGGTCAGCTTTTTGATAAAAAGGTCCTAATTAGGCCCACTACCCTGGGAACCATAGCTGGCTGTCAGCTGGTCCCTATAGGGACCCATAGCGGCTTTATTGACTATTATCAAAGGAATCAGATTCTGTGGTAATGAAAACGTTTATCTATTTTTTCCTCATCACGTCTACTATTAAAAAACAGTTGAGCTGAATAAAATAGGTTACTGCATGACTCAACACAATACAAATTTCACAATACTGATGAATCATCAAGTCACACAATATACAGGAGTCAAGGGCAATATAGTCTTCCTATTGCTTACATAAGACTATACAAATATATCTCATTACTGACTGACATTCCAGTCACTGCCAAAACCACCACCATTGAGATAAAAGGCCCCATCAGAGCCCTATACAGCTCTGGCCACTATTACAGGGAGGGAATCAGTCAGGTTTAAACACCTCTGTTGAGAACAGTTCAAGAGACAGGGAGGAAATGAAATCAGTGAGGTGTATTTATACTGAGCTGGGCCACTAGGCCAGGCAGGGTGAGGAGGCCAGTCAGGGACAGGGTTGAGTAGATCTGGGCTAATCTGTCCTAGCTAGTGGACTATGTGTCTGTTCCTCTAGGCCAGTGGGCACCAACCTTTTTGAGTCAAGATCGCTTTGAGTCAAAATGCAAGCAGAGATCTACCACTCAGATAACAAATAACACTTAAAAAACATCAGCCTATGCAACATTAACCAATTAAAAACAGTTCTGTATTAATGATGTTTGTGCAGTAGGCTATAGGCCCAATACATTATAACTGCATATTGGCTACGCTTGAATTGCCCTGCCAATGTTGTTCTTCTAAGACCATTTTGAAAATAATATTTCAAAATGT